CGTCGTTGGAGTTTAGGTGTACGGTTGTTTTATTTATTTATGAATTTTTGCCACTAAGGCGGATATGAGATGTTTCTGTTTTTAAATTGCCTACGAAGGGCGAATTCCTGTCAGTTTGTGGCATTTGTATTTCTGACAGAACGTATGGGAATCGAAGTTTTATTTCATTTAAATTATTTTCCCAGGGAGTTGCTTATCGCGTGTTTAGAGTTAAAGCTAGCCAGGTAAATTATTTAGCGTTGCCTAGGATGATATATATAAAATCTTAGGGCGTTACATGCCGTCACCATAAGTAGTGTAGTCCGCCACCGAATGGTCATTTCTTGTCATAGTGTTGACGCTGTCATCGTTGTTGTAGCTTATCGTTGCATCATGCATCTAGTCACTGTCTTAGTGGTTGATCCAGACTTTTATCTTGGTGGCACAAATCCATTATAAAGTTAACTATAAGATATTGAATCTTTAACGTGAAGTTGGTAATATATATCTATTTTTACCCTAAACTTTCAAAATTAATCGAATTGCATAGACACTTGGATAAGTGTTATAATCTTCACTTTAAACTATAAAAAATATTGCAATTTTTAATTTTTAATTTGAAAAATAGTTGAAGCTCGTTGCTTCTAGCCATTATGTTCAACCAGAAGTTGCTAGAGTATGTCGACAAGTCATGTGCCGACGCCACCACTGTCATCGTAACCTTTTACCTCATCCTGCATTCTATTGCAGTCTTTGCTGTGGTTGATGGTCATCACCACCAGTTGTTGTGCTTAGCCAATCACCACCAGATTATCTTGCTGCTCATTGTGGTGTTGAAGTCGTCACTATAGCCTACTGTCGTTATAGCCCATCACTGTAGCCATCCAACATAACCGTAGCACGTATTTTGCTAATGTAAGAAGTAATTTCATGCATGGTATACTTAATTAATCAACTTTAATATATGCCCATATGTTTTTTATTTTGTTGTGGGTATTATTTGTTCTTATTATTTTTCGTACTATTTGATATATGAGTTAATAATTTGGTATTGTTCGGGTATGAAACTAGAGTTTCTTATTGGGTATTATTACGCGTGTAAGATTACATAAGAGTCACAATATGTTTTAAGGATATGATTTTAGAGTTATGCATTGGGTTTAGGGTTATGATTTTGTATGTTTATGTATATGTTTTGGGCATATGATTTTAGAGATATGTATTGAGTATAATTGATTGGGGTATAGTTTTTGTTTAATATTGCACGAATAGTAGAGTTTATGAGCTCATAAAATCATACTTAGTAATAATGTGCTTTAATGATAATCAATGAGAAAATACATAATACCTATTTAGGATACTAGAGTGAGGGATATCAAATGCGTCTAATTTTTGGCTCGTTGTTTGGAGAAATGTGGGGAATCAAATTATCTAATAGACCAAACTAATGCATGACAATGTCAACCAACTGATCATATACGACATTCCATCATCACACATTATTTCGATAACTTTATTAATTTGTGTAACTATCTTTTCATTGTCCATAATATAACATTAACATATGAATTGATGTACTATCCATAAACATAAAAAAAAATTTTAAAAAAAATTGATATATATGAGGTATATATTAGCAACATTGTAATAATTAGCTATATTAATATAAAAATCAGCAAACAACATAATAACGATATGAAAGAGAAATAATATTGTATATATTTGTAAATAAGCAAATAAATATTGGTATGAAAAATAAAGACCAGGTATATGGATTAGTAATAGTAAGTAAACTAATAGTGGTTTCAATATGTACTGCATATTTATCAATAAATACTTGGGCATGTTTCGAACAATAAATACTAGGTATATAACAATTAGAAGATAAGAGGGCATTAATCCATAAAAATTTTATAAATGGTCTATCCTTGTCATCATTTTTTGCATGAATGATGTTACGAAATAGTAGAAATTAAAGAATGTTTACGAAGATGTTGAATGAGTGTTGAACATCTACTTTAATAGATTAGAGGTTGCGTGCAAGCGCACACTACAACAAATATCACATACGATAGCATCGAACAAACGCTATCATAGACTTTTTAAAGCGTTTTTGAGACGCGGTTGTAGGCGATGTTATTAAAAGTCTGAGACTTTCTATAGCGTTTTTTTCATGCTATGATCAACGTTATAGAAAGTTCAATTCTAATTGCATATTTTCAATGTTATAAATTCTTTCTATAGTGTTTGATGAAAATGCTATTATAAATTTTATATAGCTTTTAAAAAAACGCTATAAAAGACGTTTTATAGCTTGTCGTGTACGCTAGAGTTGATATTCCATAGCATTTTATATAGCATCGTTTTTATGCTATTATAAAGATTTCATAACATTTTTTCAAACACTATGGAAAGTTTCTGACTTTTTATAGTGTTTTCTTGTAATTATCTATTAAATATTACATAATTATGTTATTATTAATTTTTAATAACTGTCAAAAAGTGACGTGACAAACTTCTTTTAACTTTGCAAAAACCATTAAACAAATATTGGCATCCAATTGAAGGCAATTCTTCACCATGATGATACCAAATCTAATAAGTCAAATCCATACCTTTAATAACCAAATGTTCATACACAGAATCAAAGGTTTGGTGATTCATGTTCCTATATATCTTGTAGGGACATAATATTTTGTCCACCCCATCCAACTTACTTTTCACTTGTTCGACAAAGTTTCATGCACCCCGCAAGTATTCATCAGTAGCTCTATAAATTAAAAAATAAAACTCAACAAATTAGTATAACCAATTTGTTTAAGCTATTACTAATAATTAATATTTGACATACTCATACCTGTTCAAATGAATCCAATCTTTATCAAACATTCTTCCAAACAAAATTGCTACAAGGGGAGAATGTTTAATTGCTTAATTAGTTTACATAACAACTAACTAGATAATCAACTAAATCTAGAGAATTTGGTTTTGAGATTAAGGTTTGAGGCACAAGTCATCAAACTTATTTTAAAGTGTCTACCATGGAGAATAATATAGGAGAAATGATATTTTGTATATCATTCTGTACAAGCTTATGGTTCTTGAAGAGAATGAAACAATTACATTCAAAAATAGTAGTATATGAACTTTATAAGATGAATGATTTATTTCGAAGTAAAGGTTATACTATGAACAAGCTCCTTTTGCCAATGAGTGTTTAATTGATCTAACCACCCACAAGCATCATTCACTCTATAATCCAAGCTAAGCATGACACTTCAATCAATTAGAAGTAAGAGACTCTAATCTTAACAAAGAAAGATTTGCTTCAACTCCTAAATTCATATCGCTTCAAATAACTTTTAGGCCAACCCATATATTCTAAAGAACATAAAATTTGTATCCAATGTCTAAGAATTAAAGTAAAAACAAGTGAGAGAAGTAATAATATTGATTATACCAAAATGAAGCTTGTTTTGTTCATTTCTGTTTTTTTTTTCTCACAAAAGAGGTCCCATATATCTCTTTCCAACTTGCATTTCCCTATCCAAGTCTCAACTCATTCCAACAATAATTGCAAAGGAAAAAGAGAAAACCAAATAAACACAAAACTTATAACTATCCCATATCCACACATGAAACCACCATTACAATCTAAAATTAAACCAAAATCTCAAACATTATCCATTATTACAAATAATAGTTACAAAACATGAGCACAAACTAATAAGTAATAACAAACTAGACACATTCAGATCAAAACCATTCAACGTAGAGAACCCTTAGCCAACATAATAAAACATGAGACCAAAGACATCCATATTTAGGTTAAGACCAAACCAAGATGCTAACTACTATTACAGAGATGTTGTTTACTTTAGGAATGATACAAAAGAGTTCCAATATCTTAATTCACTTCATCACAGACACAAAATTTATAATCCAAACTTGTCATTCTAATTAAGAATCCAACAATTTCATTACCTTCGCAAAGTAATCCTTCTTGACTCTATAAACAATTTGATGTCCTCGCAAATCAAATGCCTCGAATTTTGTTTTTCAATACTCAACTCCTCTAATGTTGGGTACTAGGTACAATGGTGCAGATCAATTAGCCTCGACAAACAAAATCAAACCAAAAAAACAACAAAAAGTTTGGCATTAAGAAGGAAAATAATCCAAGGAAATCAGGTTAAACTGACAATTTAGAAACACATCAATCCCATATATGTGATCACCGCAGTACAAAAGTAGAACTGAATTTCAAGACCAAAATCTCAACGATCATGAAAGCAAACATTGAAGACAAAAGTAAATTGGAACCATCGATCACACTATTCCTTGATTAGAGAAAAAGAATTAAATTTTGAAAGGGGAATACAACAAAGAGACCTCTGCAGATTTTTTTTTTAAAGATCAATGAAACAATTATGATCATCAGTTTTAAAAAACTTGAATTTGGAAACTTCATGGATTGATGACCATTGAAGACAAAAGTAAATAATTAGCCTAGAGAGACTAATCCCATTTTAAAGGGTAATGTTTAGGCTCTAATGCTCAACAAACTAACTTCAGCATCGAGTATATCAGTTGAAGCAACCTCACACAAGCTCACACTTTTTTTTAACTCTTTTTATATACATGAGAAACAACTTTCACATAAAACAAATGGAAGAATACATGAGGGAAATACAAAAAAGGAAAGCTCTAGCCAATACGAGCTAGAAAAGCATATGAAAAATAGAAAAGTACAAACAAAGAATTACAGAAGCGATTTTTTAACCTCAATGAAGTCCATAGTTATTTTTTCTTTTTCTTTTTAGTTTTTTTTTAATACCTCAATGCTATTTTTACTCATTTTCTTACACCATAATCCTTCATTTAAGCTTTTTATTTGTCTTCAGATCCTTTTTCATCCTTTTATTTTTTCACCACATGACAATATATTAACAATTTCTCATTTCCTTTTCTTTCTTAACCGTGGCTATACTTAATTTCTCGTTTCCTTTTATTTCTTAACAGGTGACTATACTTGATGCTGTTATTCAAATTCAAAATCACATTACGTTACATATTCAAGTTTCTGCCAAGAAAATATTAACCATGACAAAGCAAAAGAAAACGAACAAAAGGAGAACGAACACAGACCTCGCTCAGTCGCCTCTGCGTTTTTTCGCTACCAATCCAAAGAAAACGAACGTTTGCACAGTTCGATAACAAACTCATCATGCATTTGATTAATAAACTAGAAAATAAGCATAAATAATTAAAAATCCTCGAAATTACCTATTGGGAGAGGTGACGACGGAATCGATCCACCTCCATTTCTCCTGCAGCCATTTGATAATCTGTCTGTCGGAGACTCCGATGTAAGGCCTGCCGCCGCCAGCGTCGAAGGCGAAGCTTTCCGGTCCTGACGAGTAGGTTGAAGATGGCGGCGATTGCAGTTGCGGTGAGGCAGAGGCGAATAAGGCGTACGTCGAAGGCTAGGGTTTAGCGAGTACAGAGAGTGAGCCTTTTTTCCGTAATGTAAACAGCGTTTTCTTTTCCGTAATCTTAGCCGCGCACCAGATTTATTTTACCGCTTTTTTTTTAATTTGCCCACCTAATTTTTAATAGCTATAAAGGGCCTAATGCTATAATTTAATGTTATAAAGTATTATTTGTTGTAGTGACACAATGCCACGAGTAATACATGAAAAAAGTATTACAAGTTCATACCTCTATGGACTTTTATTAAAATATGATTTGGTGTGGTGTTTGGTTTCAAAACAAATAGACTATCAATTAAAAACAACCTCTCTACTTCATACTTTAGTGGCAAATAGAAAAATGTAAGATTTACATGCAGGGGTCAATGCTATTAGCTAATCTACTACAAACAAAGTTTACTCTTATCACAAACCACGTTTAACAGCACACACACATGCACCAAGTAGCAAAACTCACGGAACTTCCACCACAAAGCTCGTTGATCTTTAGTTCCTCCAAGCTACTTCTAACCCATCACATTATGTTAGTCCTCCAAGTCTAACTATTTGAATCGTATCGGTCCTTGCCCTTTTGTACCCAAGGCCCCGACACTCCTCTATAGAAGTTTGGCATTCGACTTTGACCTTTATACCCGAGGCCTTGAACTGTGCATCGACCTTTAACTTTTGTACCCATGGCCTCGATGTCTACTATGCATATTGGTCTTTGACCGTCACCACGTCAAAACCCAATACTACTCATCAAATAGACTCATCGTACCAACTCCCGACCTTTCGTACCCATATCCTCGACACTCATCTCTAACAAGACTGGCCTACCGACCTCTAACCTTTTACACTCGGAGCCTCGACACCCAGTAGGGACGTATCAGCCCCACCATTGCCACCGTAGCTATGCATTTCTCCATTCCCTTCCATGTCAGGGTAAACCACACGTTCAACTCTTAGTCTCCTGTTAAGATTTTTTTTCCCATGACCTTTAAGTCACTCACCATACTGTCTTCCAATAACAAAACCACTAGTCAGGTCTATCACTTCAGACGAATCACAAGAAACAAAACAACTAGCATGTTCTATCACTTCAGACAAATCACAACCAACCTCTTAAGGGCATCAACAAGCCATTTACACATCCGTCCACAACACAATTTTTCTTCCCACATGCTTTTCATTCATACAAGGAGAAAAGTAAACTCACAGTTCTCAAACCAATAAATACACATCTCCTAACTCAACAATTATCATGTCCCAATAAGCGCAAAGCTAACACATGCATCCAAAATTTAGAATATGCTTTCATTCACTCAACATAACCACTTCCAACCATATAAACCAGAAGCTCCCAACTACAACCATGATCATGACACAAAACATTTACATAATATATAGGAGCACAGCAGATGCAAACCCATTAGTACCAATCAGAAATTCTCAAACCATGACACACAATTATGCATGCAAATGATACACGATTGTAATAGAATACAACAATAAACCATCCCAATAGCACACCACAATGCACACACCCACCCCTGATACTACTTACACACTGCTACGCTCCTAACCTCGTGTCGACTCAACACCTAGGCAACAAAAGACAAAAAACAGCAATCAAAACGAAATTCCAGCCATCGAAATCGATTATAAGGAGGTTTTAAAAAGTCTGTTACCGCAAAGCAAACTTCGTTTAGGTGTGGGTAACTTGGATCAAACTCGAATGGGTGTGGGTTGCGTAAATCGGCTTCAAACGATCATGGGGTAGGTGCCAAACACCACAAAATGCTACTGTAAGCATTATTTTGCAACAAGGAAAGTACACCGATTGATATCGACACTGTTGTGCGCCATAGGGAATCCACACCCGAGGTTATCGGCCTCCACGAAAAGCTGAACATGGATCGTAAGGAACTTTGCCGCCGGTAAAACGCCCCGGAATGCCGCAAATCGTAGTAGAAACACTACCCACTATTGCCACGAACCAAAACGCACGCCGCCTGCTACTGTCCGTGGAAAATGATGATGTGCCACGATAGGAAAAGGTCACCAATCGTCGAGTAGAGGCGTGGTGCGGCTGGGCGATTGGGAGAAGGAGAACACGAGAGTGGGGGTGGAGAAGGGGAAAGGATTTCTAGGGCTTCTTTTCCTCTCCTCTATGTTCTGAATTAAAAGCCCAATTACCCAAATTTTGTAAAAGAAGGTCATGGGTTTAAATAATTAGAATTTCTAATATTCCAACAATACTAAGTTTAGTCGTTTCCTTTCCAGCCTAATGGCCCACGATAAAAGTCGAAAACAAATACTTCATTAATTAAAATATAAAACTCACAACAGTACCACGACATCCCAAAATAGAATAAGGTAAAAAAATTAAATAATTTAAAATAATTTTGGACTAAACCTCAGTAAAAATAAGGTAAAAAAATCAAATAATTTAATCTAACCTGAGTAATGCGGCGAGTTACAATGCATTTATCCTATGGTGGGATTTTAAAACTATATGACATACTTTATGCAACATACGTAACTAATTAAATATACGATCAAAATACAAAATAATTAAAAAGCAAAATAGACTGGTTTTTGGAATCTTATAAGAAATCAAACAAAAGCAAAAAAATAAAAATAAAAAAATAAACTCTCGGCGCGTAGGCGCTACCCCCTCTACAATAGGTTGGAACTCTCGGGTTTCTACAGTCCTGGCAGTGCATAGCACCACCCCATTGCTAAAGCGTTATCCACTCGAGTTGCATGGGGAACTTCCAGTTTTGCTTCAAATTTTTGGTACTCTTTCACAGCAACTCCCTGCCACGAACGACACAGAGTTACATACTCGATTTATAGCATTAAACGCCTAAAACAATGGGCCTTTACATTGATAAAATCAACGAAAAAACTGAAAATCTAATACCAAAAATCGAAAACATCTATTTGCAAACCACATACGTTAAATATAGAGCAAAATATCCATCATTCTTTTCTATGTAATGCAAAACAAGATCGGAAGCATAAATTGGCTCGGATACCAATTCAAGGGATTGAATCCCGCAGCGAGACCGCGTGAATGCTTGTGCTTCGATTTTGTTTTCTAAGTACAACAAAGAAAAGATAAAAACATTATAAAAGGGAAGAATGAGAAATTGAGCAATCTACCTTTGAAAACCGTTCTTCACCGTAGTTCAACGACACCACCAAAATATCTTTCCCACTATTCTCTTGGCAAGGATCGGTTTGTGGAAACCATCTTTTGAAATGAGAGGGAGTTCTTGAGAGAGAGATTTTTAGAGAAAAATGTTCCAATCCCATCAAAATGTATCTATATACATTATGTTAATGGTATGTTATACAATTAACCTACGATCCCTCATTTAAATTGAACAATTCAAATTTTTTCAAAAATTCTTGATCCTTATTTTACCGTAGCTATTGAGAGGATCTAATAGACCTATATATTAAAAGCTCCAATATTATAAGATTAATCGATTAAACTCATTAACCACCTTAATCAACATACATTAACTGCGGGTCACTCCACTAAAAACTCACAGTTGCACTCTTCTCACTATAGAATATTTGTGTCCACAGATACGACCATTAATGGCAAGTCAATCTTTCATGAGTGCTCTAACTCTAGTTGGATCAAACTACCGTTTTACCCATGAGTTACATTTTGCTCCTTAAATACCACTGCTCCTTTAATGAACAACTCAATTATGGTCCGACCAATAACCAGATGTCCCTTTTAGGCCAATGAGAGGTGAGACCCTTTGTTCAAGTCCTGGAGTCAGCATTTAAGAGAACACTCATCTACTTCCTTAAAGTCGGGAAGGGGTGAATTCCATCATATCTAGTTATGTTCCTAGCTCCCTACTCGATCTCATCCCCAAAATGGTTGGAATGTTGAGTCGGTGACTCGGGCCACTTTCACCTATACATATCAAAGGAGGAGCCCTCACGGGCAGGAGTCCACTCACTCAGGATTGAGAATGAGTTGCTTGGTCATCCTATGAAATAGTAATCTATTAGTCAATAGCGTTACATCTAAAGATTGGCTGTTTTGCGATCTGGTCTTATACAAACTCATTATATATGATATCTCCACTCGCATGTCTCCATACGAACGACTTGTTTTGATCGTTTGTAACATTTAAAAAGTGGGTCATATCCGTAGTGTTGCCAGGATAAGGTACTCAGTCTTGTCCATATACTACATACCCTTTAGGTTATTCCCGGAACATTATTCACTTGTATAACGATGATATATCAAATATATACCCAGTATATATACTGTCCTGGCCACATGATAATATCCTTGGATGTTTAGTTTATTAGATTTGGATAATGCAATGTTGTAAACTCTACAACAATTTGATTGAATAAGAAAACATGACTTTATTGAATATAAATTTGTTTTTTACAAAATTACAAACTACGAGTTTAAGGCAACACACCCAACAGTTATATATCTCTCATTATCTGTTGATGATATCGTCCTTAGGGGCACTAGTAGTTCTCTTATTACTGATTTGATATGTCAGTTGAAGACTAAATTTGATATGACTGATCTTGGCACTCTTACTTACTTTCTTGGTCTAGATGTCACTTATACATCTGCTGCTATTCATGTTTCCCAAACTAGGTATGCAAGAGATGTTCTTACACAGTTTGGTATGGCATCTGCTGAGCCTTGTACCACTCCTATTGCGTTGAAGTCCTCTTCTAATATTGGTCTAAAGTCTTCTGATGAAGATACTTGCATCTTTCATGCTCTCATTGGTGCATTGCATTATTTGACTTTTTCTCGCGTGGATATTGATTACTCTGTTAGTAGGTTGTCTCACTTTATGCAAGCACCTCATATTTCTCATCTCATTGCCGTCAAAAGAATCCTTCGTTATATTTCTGGGACTTTACATTCTAGTTTATTGTTTTGAAGAGGCCATTTTTTACTTTAATTTGTCGTTAATTGCATACTCTAATTTTGATTGGGATTTAGACCCTTATGTTTGACGTTCTACTACGGGTTATGTTGTTTTTCTTGGTCCTAACCCTATTTCATGGGATGCTAAGAAGCAATCAACGGTTTCTCGTAGCTCAACAGAGGCTAAATACCGTGCACTTGCTTCCACTTCGGTTGAAATTTTATGGATTCGTCAAATTCTGTGTGATCTTAGACTGTTTGCTTCAGCTCCTCCTATACTTTTATATGAGAATCAATCTGCTATTCAGCTTCCTCGTAATCTGACATTTCATGGTCAAACAAAACATCAATTTTCACTTTGTTCGTGAATAGGTTATCCGTAAAGATATTGATCTTCGGTTTGTTCCGACATTATTTCAGCTGGCTGATATGTTCACCAAGCCCGTTACTTATGAACGACTTTCTTCTCTGCGGCCAAAAATTATGTCTTGACAGCCTTTCGTTTGAGGGGGGATGTTATGAGTATTAGCCGTTCTTATTCGATTTTGTAATGAGTTAGTTAGTTCCAATTTAATTGAGTTTTGTTGTAAAGTCTGTTATCAAGTCTGTTACCAATTATCTATTTAAGATATCTTTGAAATTTGAATAAAATTAATGCAAGTTATCTTTTCACGATTATTGTGAAAAAGCTTTAACTTGTTCAAAATCTCTATGTTTAATCATCTTGATTTTTCTTGAATTTAATTTAATTTATTCTTTTTTATTATTTTTGGATATAAATTTCAATTTCTTGCATCATACACATTAGGCAGACTTTGATTACGTACTTACGTTTCACTCCTACGTAGAACATAGAAAAAAAACAAAAAAGAAAATAAAGACAATGTTCACAAGAGATATATAAAAAACGGTATTCTCTTAAAGTAAACAGTATTTTGTACCTAATTACACTTAGTTGATGATATCAAAGTTTTAGCTTAAATAATAAGTATTAGGAATATGGGTTATAATGGTTTGAATTCAAATTATACATTAAGTAAAAGAATATACCTTCATAGTTAATTCTTATGAAATTTGTGATAATAATTATATATTTTTTCCACTGCAATTTTCCTGTATTAATTGTCCTCCAATTTCAGCCGTTCTACAATTTCAATTTTATAATATTAAATATGCACATGTGTTAAGTTATTATATTAGTTTTGTCAATCGATAATGTAAAATGTTGACAACAAATCTATATTAGTAATAAATCAAAATAATACTTGTTATCCATGATTTGAATTTCTCCCTTCTTCTTGCTTTAGGTTGAATTACACTTCATCTGTATTACACCACCTATAACACATCTGCAAATAAATTAAGAATTTATTATTTGACAAGCAATAAGTTGATAAAAATTAAATTACAACATTGTACATAACCATTTGGAAATCCATGTCATTTACATCTGACACCAATTCGAAGTTGACTAAGTTTATTTTCTTCAAGTTATATATCTCTCCTTCAATGTCCTTAACTTTAACTGTTTTGTGTCAATTGAGATACAATCGTGTCATTAACGTTCAGGTATCTTATATCGATTGAATTTATACTCCCATCAAATATATTTGGCATGTTTTTTCTCTTTTCTAGCTTCTCAAAAAATTTCTTGACAAATCCTTAAATAAATTAATCTTGTGTACTTTCTCCCTACAATAATATTTAAAATACAATTTTAAGCAATCTCATTAAAAGGAAGGCAAATAAATTAAAAAGTAATTTTACCTCGTTATGATTAACAATAAATTTTTGTATATGTGTATAAGTTATCCTCTTTTGTTTCTGTATTGTTGCTTGAGGAATTTTCTAACAATTGTAATTTTTCTTGACCACCCTGTTTGAAATGGTTTCAACTATTTAATTGGCATCCCTACCATTTAATAGAAATTGGACAAAGAAATTATTTTAGAGAATGAAACTATAATTATGAGGGGAAAAAAAGAGTTGAAATTATGTAACCTAACTTTATTGATCAAGTTTTTGCTTGTGTACATCATTTTAACTTCCAAATAGTTTGAACGCCAAGTTCTTGTTGAAGTTTGAAAGGTTATATTTATATTTTGGACAATCAAAAATATAAAATTAAATGTATAATTAAATCTCTTAATCACAAAATTTGTACCATGTTGTTCATACTCTTTATCCATTATTTACATTTAAATCCCTTAATAATAAAATTTGTAACATTTCCTTCCATTCATTAATAAGGAAATT